CAGTGGTTCTCAACCTGTGGGTCGGGACCCCATTTGGGGTCGATCGACCATTTCATGGGGGTCGCCAAGCAAGGCTGTCCGCCATTTTTTTTGTCCGCCATTTTTTTCCCCTTTTCCGGCGGGTGCCTTACCTCCCTTGAGCTGGGCCAGCTGGTGGTCGGCCTGCTCCGTCTCTGCCGCTTGCCAGCTACGCCTCGGCCGGCGCAGGGGGCGGAACCACGCATGCATGGCGCTCCCGGGCAGGGAAAGTCCTCGACTTACGACCGGTTGGGTAGTCCTCGACTTACGACCGGTTTAGTCCTCGATTTACGACTGGTTTAGTCCTTGGCTTACGACCGGTTTAGTCCTCGACTTACGACCGGTTGGGGTCGCGGCATTAAAAAGGTTGAGAACCACTGATCTAGATGAAACCACTGGGGAAAGTCATAGATTGGTCTATAGCCAAGGGTTGAGAAGTCAACAATAAGCTGATGATACCCAACTTTGTGTCTCTGCTTAGTGATCAATGCTGTTGACATCCTGTCTCATTTCTTGGAGGATATGTGGCAATAGAAGAATAGAATAGAATAGAATAGAATAGAATAGAATAGAAAGGGACCTTGGAGGTCTAGTCCAGCCTCCTGCTCAAGCAGGAGGACCTATACCATCTCAGACAGGTGACTGTCTAGCCTCTTCTTAAAAACCTCCAGCGATGGAGTGCCCACGATTTCTGGAGGCAAAGCTGTTCCACTGGTTGATTGTCCTCACTGTCAGGAAGTTTCTCCTTAATTCCAGGTTGCTTCTCTCTTTGGTCAGCTTCCAATCAACAAACAGTCCTGACAAGACTGAGGAACTTTGGGTGTTGGGGCCACCAGGACCTGGGAACTTACCAGATTGGGTGGCACTGCCCCAGACCCAGTGTGCAATCTGGGGACCTTCAAGATTCATGACTCCTGCTCAAGGAAGAAGTGGCAGTTGTGGCTACTTCACGTTGTGTGCTACTTATGCCCATTCCTGGACCAAGAGACCCTAAGCTCAGTCCTTTATGACCCGGTCACCTCTACATTAACTTCTCCTCCGCAAGATGCTGGTCTACTGGTTTGCTTCCAGATTCAATTCAAGGTGCTGGTGATGATCTACAAAGTCCTTCAATTGAGGAACAGCCACATCCCAAATCACGTCCCATCCTACCAGATGTGAGTCCAAACCGTTTGGAAAAAATGGGTAAAAACAAATTCCCCATTTTTTTCAGTTTTTTTCCCAGGCCTTCCCATCTCTAATCCTACCTATGAAGGAAGGAGGGGAGGAGAAAGGGAAAGGAAAGGAAGATTTTGGAGCCCTCATCCTCATTTCTTTTTCACTGTGTAAAGCAAATGACCTGGACAGCATGAATCTAAAGATGTCTTAAACTACCATTTTAATTTTCAAAATATTCCATCTAATTTTGGCCACACAATGTCAGCTGCAAAACTACCCGAACGTTAGACGTTTTCAAAATGTTGATATTTTTCAATATTACAACTGTAAAAAGAGAATGCCAGAAGCTGAAATACATTTAATAAACAGATAAATTGTTATAGGCTGAACAATATCTTTTACCTATGTTCTAAGATCATTTGAGATAGATCTGAAAAACGACTGTTTTCAAGCATCCCTATCGAAATGCTACCGATTGTTTTAGCATAACGCTTACGAATTTTCTGTAAATGGAAACATGCAATATTAGCAATCTGCAGAACTTTAGACCTAATTTGGAAAAGGTACTTTGAACCACATGGGAACAGCTGCCCTTCGTAACTCTTGAAAGAGACTCTTCTTTATCTAGTAAAGATAGAGGGCGGTTCCACGTGCTGGACAAAGATGCAGCTGCTTTCAAGAGCTGCAGATAAATGGTGTGTTTGTGATGCTTCCAGTGGAAGCATTTTTGGGCATCTCTAGTATTGCATAGCCCTAATATGCATGTTGATAGGTAAACAGGTACACACACATGCACACATACACACAAACACACACACTCCTCTCTTAAAGAGTTGGTCCTGCCCGGAAGTAAGACTTGATAGGGTTGTCTACATATTTGCGCCAGAAAGCAAGAGGCAATTATAAGAAAGTCAGTGATAATACGAGAGGGATCATTAACGTAGATGCATTAGAGAACAGCAAATAATTCTAGCCTTGCAGATAGTTTGTCGATTCAATAGATTTCTGTTCCTCTCTGCTGGCAATTCTCCCACGGGCTAATCATAATCGTAGTATTCATACTCGTCCCTTTCACGAAATCTGTCGTCATATTCTGTGGAATGGATATTTAGTTGTAAATATCAGTACGAATACCCAGCTGACAGCCCGCCCCCTGTTTCTATCTCCTCTGTTATGCAAAAACAGTGATTAATAGGTTGCAATTAGAATATTTCAATTACAGTATTTTGAATTTGCATTCATTTGAGGGTATTCCGAATGTCAGAAAATTTGCTCAAAGGATCCATTCTTATGGAGAATAAAATACCCCTGTGTCTTTCTCTTACTACAGTTAGTCCTTGACTTACGACCACAGTTGAGCCCAAAATTTATGTTGCTAAGCGAG